GTCGCCGCCGGGGGGCCCAGGCGCGGATCAAAGAAATCCGCGCTGAGCGCCAACAGTTTATGTTTATGCGTGTATTTCCTTCTTCGGTTAGCGAGACGGGATGGGACAGCCTGGGGGGCATCGCGCATTTTCCAAGGTGGCTCTAAGAGTGCCCCAAAAACGCCCTTGACCTGACAACCCCACATCCCAACCATGTACATAGAGAATCCGCCGGTCAGAAGAAGTGGGTTGAAAAATCAAGTAGGAAAGCGTTGGATGTAGATTGGGCTTCCGCCCGCCCTCTGAAGAAGAGGGAAGAGGGACGACCACTCGGTTCTTGAAGTAGGAAAGCGCTAAAAGAGCTATGGGATCTGGGAATCCCAAAATGCCTAGTTCCAACGACCGGCGTGAAACAACTTCTTCGGCTCTCCTCGTTAAGCTGCCCCCCGCGCAGGCGGCTGCCGCTCGAGGCCAGGAGGAGCGCTGATAGCAGGCTGACCGCGGCCACGACCAACCCCAGGACGCGGTAGCTGGCACTGGACCCGAAGGTGCCAGCGAAGTAGCTCCCCGCAAGCGGGCCCACGAGCTCCCCCATGTTGAGGAACACGAAGCCGAAGGACAGGATGTCGTCGTGGCTGCAGGGGAGCTCGGACCTCTCGCGGGCCTCCGCCTCGAGGGTGTTCTCGAGTACGGTGAGGACGGGCACAATCAGGCAAGACGTGGCGCCACTCGCCGCGAGGAGCGCGGCCATCTGCCAGGTCCAGGTGTCCATTCCTGAAGGGGCCCTGAGACACACAAATGAACAAGTGGCACGCACGACGTGGATCTTGCACAGAAAGGAAGGAGTCGGGGCGGAGAGGGAACGCTGGCTGGTGGATGGGACGATGGAGTGGGCACTCGGGACGGGGGGGCAGTGCCGTGCTGAAATAAAGGGGTCGGGGCGGATGGGGCGCGTTGGTTGGTAGGTGGGGTGATGCGGAAGGGGCGCTCAGGATGGGGGGGCGGTGCCGTGCCGAAATATAGGGGTCAGGGCGGAGGGGGCGGCGCCGTGCCGAAACAACAAGGTCGGGTCGGAAGGGGCGCGCTGGCTGGCGGGTTGGGGGGTGCGGAGGGGGCGTGGGCGGAGGGTGCGCGCTGGTTGGAGGTGCGCGGGACGCGGGGGGGCGGTGCCGTGCCGAAATAAAGGCCAGGGCGGAGGGGGGCGCTCTGGCTGGCGGGCGGGGGGATGCAGAGTGGGCGCGCGGGAGGGGGGGCGGTGCGTGCCGAAAAAGAGTGGTCGGGGCGGGGGGGGTGCACCGTGCCGAAATAAAGTGGTCGGGGGCGGAGGGGCGCGCTGGCTGGCGGGTGGAGATATGCGGGGGGGTGTGTGCCGTGCCGAAATAGAGTGGTCGGGGCGGAGGGCGCGAGGGGAGGGAGTGGACGCCGCGCCGAAATAAGGAGGTCGTGGGGCGGAGGGGGCGCGCTGGCTGGTGGGTGGGGGAATGCGGGGGGGGGCGTGCCGAAATAAAGGGGTCGGGGCGGAGGGGCGCGCTGGCTGGTGGGTGGGGGGATGCGGAGGGGGTGTGCCGTGCCGAAATAAAGTGGTCGGGGCGGAGGGGTGTGCCGTGCCGAAAGAAAAGGTAAGGGGCGGAGGGCGCGCTGGCTGGTGGGTGGGGGGGGGGGATGCGGAGGGGTGTGCCGTGCCGAAATAAAGTAGTCGGGGCGGAGGGGTGTGCCATGCCGAAATAAAAAGGTGTGGGGCGGAAAGCGCGCTGGCTGGTAGGTGTGGGGGGGATGCGGAGGGGGTGTGCCGCACGAAATACACGGGTCGGGGCGGCGGGATGTGCCGCGCCGAATAAAAGGAGTCGGGGTGGAAGGGGGTCGCGGGGGGGGCGTGCCGAAATAGAGGGGTCGGGGCGGAGGGGGTGTGCGTGCGAAATGAAAGGGGTCGGGGCGGAAGGGGGGCGCGGGGGGGGGCGGGCCGAAATAGAGGGGTCGGGGCGGAGGGGGCGTGCTGGCTGGTGGGTGGGGGGATCCGTGGCGAAATAAAGGGGTGCGGAGGGGCGTGCTGGCTGGTGGGTGGGGGGGATGCGGAGGGGGCGTTGAGGGGGTGTGCCGTGCCGAAATAAAGGGGTCGTGGTGGAGGCGGTGTGCCGTGCCGACATGAAGGGGTCGGGGCGGAGGGGCGCGCTGGCTGGTGGGTGGGGGGGATGCGGAGGGGGCGTTGAGGGGGTGTGCCGTGCCGAAATAAAGGGGTCGGGGCGGAGGGGCGCACTGGCTGGTGGAATGTGTGGGTGATGGAGGGGGTGCCGTGCCGAAATGAAGGGGTCGGAGCTGTAGACACCCTGTGCAAGGTAATACACGAAAATAACAGGATTCATACGTTCCCATATTTTCTGTGTTGTTGTCTTCCCCCCACTTCCCATATTTTCCCATATTTTCCTGGGGATCGGCGATTCATTGTGTCTGCGTGTTTTTTCCCCTCCTGAATTCCGGGCGCTGCCGGCGACAGACACGCCACCGAGAGCCCCAGGCAGACGCCGCCGCCGAACAGCATCGCTGGGCCCCTCTCTGGCGCCGCGTCGGCCACGGCGCCGACTACGGTACCCAGAAGTGCATACGGCATGGCGAGGCAGGAGAAGAGCACGCCGACTCCTGCCGGATTCGCACCCAGCACCTCGAAGGGGTACCGAATCACACATATGACCAAGTAAAGACTCCCTGCAATCAAGGATCAGAGCGCCTGGACTGCCTTGATGGGGACAGAACGAACAATGACCCAGACGAAGGACTGGCTACCCCACGATGTGCAAGAACGAAGCCCACGCGTACGACGCGGGAGGTTCGCGGACTGGACAGAATAGCACATGGGGGAATAGCCAATCAACTCACCTAGTTGGCTCATGTTCCTCGCATCTGCCGGCGCAGGAGGCGCCCGTGTCATCGAGGAAGGCGAAAGGCAGCCGTCAGCCCGTGCATGCTGATCAAAGTACGCGGGCGATCCCACAACGGACAGGCCGTGGGCGGGTCGCAGGCGGGACAGGGACGTGGAGAGTCGCAGCAGGTGGTGGGCGGGTGGACGGCTTTTGTGCAGCAGACTGGCGGGTCATGGGGCGAGTCGCAGGTCGACGGCTACAAGAATGCTAATGAAACGCAGCCTATGGAATGCAAGGTGTGTGACGCATTTAGCGCAGCGCAAACGATGGCACGAGATCGGTGTGATTCGAGCTGTGTGGTGCAAGCTGCGTGGCGCAATCGGCGAGGTGCTTTAGATGTGTGTCTGACATAAGGAAGAGGTCTCGCGAGCTCTGTGGTGCAGGCTGACTCTGTGGAGCAGCCTCTAAGTCTAGGTCGGGCCTGTCCTCCTACAGGCGGATGTTGGGCGAAACATTCGACATATTCAGGACACACTCCAAACATGCTCAAAAATAGTCAGTCGTCCCTGCACTCTTTTCGGACTGTTTGGAACTTTCCCCCTGTAGAGGGACAGGCCAGACCTAACTGAAGGGGTCCTGGGACACACAAACAAGTGGCACGTGTGCCATGGCTCTTGCACAAAAAGGAAGGGGGAGGAGGAGGATATGGAGGGGGAGGGGGGGGAGGATGCCAGACATCGCAGAAGGAGTGAACAAAACAGGGCCGCAAGAGTGGCTCCAGAGGGCGAGCGCGAGGAGACTCCAAGGGCCGTCCCGCGCGAGCGAGCACGCGCGGGGGGGCGATGAGACGGCGCGGGGGAGGGGGCGGAGCGGGGGGGGGGTGCGGTGCCGAAATAAAGTGGTCGGGGCGGAGGGGGCACTGGGCGGGCGTGGAAGCAGCGCGGGGGCGCTGGGACGGCGCGGGTGAGGGGGCGGAGCGGGGAGGGGGGGTGCGGCGCCGAAATAGAGTGGTCGGGGCGGAGGAGGCACTGGGCGGGCGCTGGAGCCGCGGGGGGGCGCTGAGACGGCGCGGGGGAGGGGGCGGAGCGGGGGGGGTGCGGTGCCGAAATGAAGTGGTCGGGGCGGAGGGGGCACTGGGCGGGCGCTGGAGCCGCGGGAGGGCGCTGAGACGGCGCGGGGGAGGGGGCGGAGCGGGGG